GCTAATGTTAAGGTGGAAATACGAAGGGGAATAAACACTATGGTTTATAAAAAGAAAGAATCTTAAAATGAGTTTTTTAATTTTTATAACAAGAAAAAGAAAGGAAAACTCCACAGCACTGGTAAAGGCTAGTGTGATGGTGAAGATATGTTGGGAGAATCAACAGTGTGATTTATAAGAGAAAAAGAAAAAAATTTAGAAAAGGTTCTCAAGGTCGTAGTTCTTGGTTGTGGAGTCTGCCCCTGTAGATGGCTTTGGGTTAGTGTCCTGTGATGTTTTCCTGGTTGAGGGAGCTTGTGCTTGTGTTAGAATTGATGGAGCTGGATCTCGTCTCTCTGAAGGGCAGCGCAGTCTCCAGTAGTAGGTTTTGGAGTGTCTATGGGTTCAGCATGCCTTTGGGTAGTTGTTCTAGCTTTCATGGTGTTAGGTGCGTGTATTTCTGCAGCTGCTTCAAAGTGGCCCTCTCAGCATATGCAGTGTCAACAGCCCCCTACTTGTCTCTGGGATCATGCAGTAATGCTTCTGTCCCCCTGTCCTGCCCTGTGTTGCTGGTTGAAGCTTGCTAGGTAGGTGCTTGTGTGGACCTTTTCTTGTGCCTCTGCCTCACGGTGACTTGTGTGGGCTTCCCTCCAGCCCCTGAGCTTGCCCTCTGTGTCACGGGGCTTGTGTGCACTTGTCTTGGCTTCCCATTCTCCTTTTGATAGGCATTTTCTTTTTGTATCTAGTAGCTTTTAAGTTATATAGTTTCATATTCTTTTAGGTTTTACTCTAGATACTATAATTTGCATTTATAATATTGTTATTATAATAAATATGTATGTTGATTTTCCTGCAGGGCTTCTTAACTTAGCTCCTAAAACTAATAATATCTTAAGTGATAAAAGCTATAGGGAAATCTGTTGTTATAATATTGAGTTTTTTTTTTCCCCAGTTCCTGAAATAGCTCCAGAACATTTAAGATGGTGTTTTTTGTTTCAGCCATACCTGAGTTTATGTTAATGAAGTGACTTTTGAAATGTCTGTCAAGAATGAGGTACTGAGTACCAGGAGAACCAGCCATATGATTCAGTTCAGTTCAGTTCAGTCGCTCAGTCGTGTCCGACTCTTTGTGACCCCGTGAATCGCAGCACGCCAGACCTCCCTGTCCATCACCAGCTCCTGGAGTTTACTCAAACTCATGCCCATTGAGTCGGTGATGCCATCCAGCCATCTCATCTTTTGTCGTACCCTTCTTCTCCTGCCCCCAGTCCCTCCCAGCATCAGGGTCTTTTCCAATGAGTCAACTCTTCGCATGAGGTGGCCAAAGTATTGGAGTTTCAGCTTCAGCATCAGTCCTTCCAATGAACACCCAGGACTGATGTCCTTTAGGATGGACTGGTTGGATCTCCTTGCAGTCCAAGGGACTCTCAAGAGTCTTCTCCAACACCACAGTTCAAAAGCATCAATTTTTCGGTGCTCAGCTTTCTTCACAGTCCAACTCTCACATCCATACATGACTACTGGAAAAACCATAGCCTTGACCAGACAGACCTTTGTTGGCAAAGTAATGTCTCTGCTTTTTAATATGCTATCTAGGTTGATCATAGCTTTCCTTCCAAGGAGTAAGCATCTTTTAATTTCATGGCTGCAGTATATCATATGATTAGAGGGTTGGAATTCTCAGCCCCACCTCGCAACCTCTGAGGAGGAGTGAGAGTGGCTGGAGGCTGAATTAGCCACCGTTGACCAGTGATTTGTTCAGTCTTGCATATGTAATGTAATCTTGATAAAAATCCGTGAGCTTACGGGATTCAGAGAGCTTCCAGGTTGTTGAACATGTGGAGGTATTATTGGAAAGGTAGTGAGTTCAGAGAGCATGGAAGTTTTGTACCCTTTTACCCATCCTTAGGGCTTTGTGTATCTCTTGCATCTGGATATTTCTGGGTTCTATCCTTTTATGTTAACCCATTAATCTAGTAAGTAAATTATTTTTCTGTGTTTTGTGAGCCACACTGTCAGATTATTAAACTGAACAAAGAGGGTGTGGGAGCCTTGATTTTTATCCAGTGGTTAGATACACTGGGTTTGCAGTTGGTGTCTGAAGTAGGAATGGTGTCACATGGAACTGAGCCTGGAATCTGATACTGTAGTTTCAGAATTGAGTTAATCACTTGGGATGGGAAAAGGTCCCACTACTTTGGTGACCTGAGTAGAGTAAAAGAGAGGAGTTGAACTTTTCCTTTACAGAATTCTTACTTTCATTTACCTTAAGTTAGTGCTTTACCTCTTCACAGACAGTGCCAGAATGTTTGAGCAGTTTAATTATCCTATTGCTAGTGTTTTGATGTATTTTACTTTCAGTGTTTTTCATAGATTTCAAGAGACATTATTTGTTGCTTTAAATTCCATTTTCAGTTTTATTTATTTCTTCCTGAAGTTTTTTTTAATTTTAATTTTTTTCCATTTATTTTTATTAGTTGGAGGCTAATTACTTTACAATATTGTAGTGGTTTTTGCCATACATTGACATGTTTTCCCATCAGATATCATTTTCCTTACCTGTAGTATTTCTTGACTTATGTGTATTACTGACAATTTTTTCAAACTTTATGTGGAAAATATATTAATTTTAGAGGAATATTATTTCTGGATTTAGAATTTTCTGGTGACATTTTTCCTAGCTCTTTTAAAATGACATTCCATTTTTATTTTCTAATTTGCAAGTTGCCCATTCAAATTTTTATCCAGTGTCTTCTCACTTTCAAGGTTTCTATTGAGAAATTTGCTGTCAGGTTTGTTACCAAGATGGCCTGCATTTTTGTCCTCATTAATTAAAAAAAAAGTCTTTCTGTATTAGAGATAGGACTTCTTTGTAAGATATATGTGTTCCAAATGTCTCTTTGCACTTTGTGTTGTACTTTTATTTTCTTTCTGTCTTTTGGTAAGGGTATGATCTTAATATTGTAGAGTTATTAATGTAATTTGCATCCTATTTAAGAAGTCTTTGCTTATTCTTAGTGTCATGAAGGTATTTCTTATGGTATTTTCTAAAATTTTTATTGTTTTAATTTTTCAAATTTAGATCTATATACTGTCTAAAATGGATTTCTGTTTACAGTTAAGATAGCCATGAATGCTCACTATAATTAAACACACTGTTTATTGAAATGGTTGTCCTTCTGTTATCCTTGTCAAAAATCAAGTGACATACATACATTTTGGACTCTTCCGTTCTATTGATGCATTTGAAAATCCTTGTGCCTATATCACAATATTTTAATTATGATACATTGATAATATATTATACTTGATAGATGGTACTCCTTATGGCTTAATTTTTCTTTAAGATTGTTTTGTGTATTTTTACCCTTTGCATTTTCACCTATTTTAGAATTAGCTTGTCTGGATTTTTTTTGAAATTGGTATGAATTTTTATATCAGCATAGAGAGAATTTATATTTTTATAATACTGAGCCTGTCTATCCAGGAATTTCTTACATCCTTCTATTTATTTGGGTCTTCTTATTTTCCTTCATTATATTTTTTGTAAAGACTTTTATATTTTTCACACTTGATGTTTGTTATACCTTTAAAAATTTTAATATTCTGATATTTGTTATATTGAACTTGTATCTAATTTCTAAACCTTTTGTGCTTTCCTGGTGGCTTAGATGGTAAAGAATCTGCCTGCAATTCAGGAGACACAGGGGACCTGGGTTCAGCACCTGGGTTGGGAAGATCCCCTGGAGAAGGGAAAGGCTACCCACTCCAGTATTCTGGCCTGGGGAATTCCATGGACTGTATAGTCCATGGGGTTGCAAAGAGTTGGACACAACTGAGAGACTTGCACTTCACTATTTGCATCCAAGTTTCAAGTTTATGTAAGTGGGTTGTTTTGTCCTTTTGCTTTCCATTCCCTTTTTAAAAACAGAGAATTGGTCTGAAAAAAAACTTAGTCATGTATTTTCAGTATGCTGTTGAATGTCTCCTTTGGCAGCTCTTTCTCTGCAACAGTGATGCCTAAAGTAGAGGCATGCACTCTAGTGTTGTGTTAGTCGCTCAGTTGTTGTGTTAGTTGCTTCATGATCTTATGGACTGTAGCCTACCAGGCTTCTCTGTCCACAGGATTCTTCAGGCAAGAATGCTGGAGTAGGCTGACATGCCCTTTTCTTCTTTTTTTTTCCACTCTGAATGAAATCGAAAACAATTTAGTTGAATATCTTCTCCTGTGTCATCTGCTGCACATCCTAATTATTGTCTCTGAATGGAAGGATTAGAACCTAAGATATGTGTTGTAGTGAAATAGCATACTAGATTTTACCTACAGTCTTAAGTCTAAATAAGAATAAAGTTTGTAATACATTTCTTGTTAGTTTGTTTCTGTGGTTTGTAGACAAACTTCTGTAGTGTTCAAAAGTATTCTTTAAAGTGGAAAGTGATCACATACTTTGGAGTCTGCTGGTCTAAAGTCACTCTATAGTGCATTTCTTGAGTACTTCTGTGGCCCTTTTTCTTATCTCAACTCCTATGCTGTTTGCCTCGTTACTCATTTCCTGAGGATGTTAGAGGGCCCTAGTCTTTGCTTGTGCAGTGACCCTATATTCATGAAGAACACAGTGTTACTGTTTATTCAGTAGCTATTCTTCCTCAGTGAAGCTCAAAACAGAAGTAGTTTTGCTTCTTATTTACATTAATCTATTGAGTGTGTACTTCAGCCACAGTACTTGTAACATATTACTGCATGTTTTCTTACCAGATTATATACTTATTGAATACAGGATGGTTTTTACTAATTTTAATATTTCCAAGAACTAGAATAGTTCCAGATCCATTGTGGAAACTTGAGAATTAATAATTAATGCACATTGGTTTACAGAATATTTCTACTGTGATTTGTTCTCCCAAAGTATAAAGCAAAAGGAACAGTCTGCAAACCAGTTTGGTAACCTGTAAACAATAGTCATGGTAGGGATTTGCTTCCATACATCTTTTCCATGTCATCTTAGTGCTGAATATTTCAGGTTGAACTGAAATCGCAAGGATCAGTATCCCTTCAAGACGTGACTGTGGGCTTCACCCAGGAGGAGTGGCAGCGCCTGGACTCGACCCAGAGGTCCTTGTATAGAGATGTGACGCTGGAGAACTACAGGAACCTTGTCGCAGTGGGTGAGGCTGGCTTATGGTGTGCTTCTAGATGGCGTTTGAAACTTCTTTTAGACTCCAGTCCTCAACTAGTGTTAGACTGAATTATTAGATCCTCTTGGTGGGATTGATGCATTTACAAAAACAGGAGAAGAAAAGGGATCTTTTGGTGTTCTCCACCTTGTGAGGACACAGCAAAAAGGTGTGTTCTGCAAACCAGGAAGTGAGGCTGCACCAGATTCTGACCATACTGGCACCTTGATCTCTTGAGTTCCCAGCCTCCAGAGTGTGAGAAGTAAATTCCTGTTTTTAAAGCCACCTGGTCTATGGTATTCTGTTACAATAGCCCAAACAGACTAAAGCATAAAGTAATAATACATGCATAAGAGTATTAAATCAGATCCTCTTTGTAGGGCTCATCTTGGCCACAAAGTTGTAACAAAAAAATTCTTTTAATTAAGAAGCTTATGGTGCTCGCTTTGGCAGCACATATACTAAAATTGGAACGATACAGAGAAGATTAGCATGGCCCCTGTGCAAGGATGACAGGCAAATTCGTGAAATGTTCCATATTTTTGAAACCAGATCTGAAAGAGACACGTGCACCCCAATGTTCATCGCAGCACTGTTTATCATAGCCAGGACATGGAAACAACCTAGATGCCCATCAGCAGACGTACATATACACCATGGAATATTACTCAGCCATTAAAAAGAATTCATTTGAATCAGTTCTAATGAGATGGATGAAACTGGAGCCCATTATACAGAGTGAAGTAAGCCAGAAAGATAAAGACCATTACAGTATACTAACACATATATATGGAATTTAGAAAGATGGTAACGATAACCCTATATACAAAACAGAAAAAGAGACACAGATGTATAGAACAGACTTTTGGACTCTGTGGGAGAAGGCAAGGGTGGGATGTTTCAAAAGAACAGCATCGAAACATGTATACTATCAAGGGTGAAACAGATCACCAGCCCAGGTTGGATGCATGAGACAAGTGCTCGGACCTGGTGCACTGGGAAGACCCAGAGGAACAGGGTAGAAAGGGAGGTGGGAGGGGGGATCGGGATGGGGAATACATGTAAATCCATGGCTGATTCATGTCAGTGTATGACAAAACCCACACAATATTGTAAAGTAATTAGCCTCCAACTAATAAAAATAAATGGGAAAATAAAAAGAAGCTTATGGACATCATGAGAAGTTTAATGATATTTAAGATTGGAATTCAAGACTCAATGTTTACAGGTCACTTTAGGGCACCAGGAAGATACTTGTGTTTGCTTCTCCAGTGAAATGTTCAGTGGCACCTTCATTGAGCAGCTCTAGAAGCTTCCTCCTGTTTCAGAGGCCCTGAAATCTAGGCCACCCAGTCCACATCGTAAATTATTTCACTTTGACAGGGTATTGTATTACCAAACCAGAGGTGATCTTCAGACTGGAGCAAGGAGAAGAGCCATGGATATTGGAGGAAGAATTCCCAAGCCAAAGCTTCTCAGGTGAGTTAATGTGTATTGAACAAGTGAACATCAGGCAATTTATTATCTTCCTCTGATTAGAGGTTAACTTTGAAATTTTTTTTTTAAGAATATCACTTTAGAGGTCCTAATACTTAGAAGTGACTTAAAATACTAATTTTTGAATGAAGTCTCCAGATACCACTCTTATTAAAAATGTTCTTTTTTTTATTCACTTTTTGAATATTTATCATTCTTATATTTGCCAGTGATCCAGTTTTTGCCCACCTCATTTTATTGTTGTTTTCCTTGGTTACTGTGATTCTCAAAGCAGCTTCAGTTGCTCAGCTTACAACCTCCATTGCTCTGTATTCATGCTGTTATTAGCTATTCTTTCATACATTCATTTTTTTGACTCAAATAATTTTTGAGTAGTTACTGTACTCTTAAGAGCTGAGAGTATAGTAATGGAAAAATAATGCATCTTAATGAGTTATAGAAATAGTATTTTTAATGCCCACAGGTACCTGAAAAGATAGCATCACTAATCATCAGGGAAATGCAAATCAAAAGCACAGTGAGATACCATGTCACACCAGTTGGAATGGCTGGCATCAAGAAGATAAGAGATAATAACGTGTTGGCGAGAATGTTGAGAAAAGGGAACCCTTGTACACCATTGGTTAAGATGCAAATTGGTTCAACCACTATGGAAAACAGTATGGAGGCCCCGCTAAAAAGTTAGAACTAGAACACATTCTCCCCCAGCACACTGAAAATGTCATTCCACTTCCTGGGCTCTGTTGTTTCAGATGGGAAGTCAAGTGTTAATCTTACTGGAGTTTCTTGTATGTTAATAGTTGTGTTTCTCTTGTTGATTTTTAAGTTTTGTCTTTGTTTCTTAAATATTTTTGCTATGATGCATCTCTCTGTTTATCCCACTTGGAGTTCATCTTGTTGAATTTGCAGATTAATGTTTTTCTTTACATTTGCCAAATTTTTGCCATCATTTCATTAAATACTTTTTTTGCTCCTTGGTCTTTTTCCTTTCCTTCTGGTGCTTCCATTATGAATGTTAATGCAGTTAGTGGTGTCCTTCACTTATTTGAGGCTTTATTCTTTATATTTTCTTTCTCTGTTCCTTAGATTGCATTTTGTTAGTTGAGCTATCTTCACTTTTCACTAATTCTTCTTCCTGTAAGCACCAATCTACTATTGAATCCTTCCAGTGAATTTCTGTTGCAGTTATTATAATTTTCAAACCTAGAATTTTTATTTGTCTCTATTCTTACTCTCTATGTGATGATCTGCCTTCATACTAATATTTGCTTCCTTAAGCTTGGTAGTTTTTGAACATATTTATAATAGCTGCTGTAAGGCCTGCTAAGTCCCATATCTGGATCCTCTCACAAACAGTTTCTGTTGTTTGCTATTTCCCCAGCATAGGTGGAATTTTCCTGTTTCTTTGTATGTCTTATAATTTAAAAACAAATAGATACTTTAAATAATATTTTGTACCTACCAGTAATGAAATTGAATCAGTATTTTTTTTTAATCATAAAAAGCAAAAGTCCAGGACCAGATGACTTCACAGGTGAATACTACAAAATGTTTAGAGAGGCATTAACACTTACTCTTCTCAAACTGTTGCTAAACATTATATAGATACATGTATTTCATTTGGTGCAGAATGCTTTTGACAAAATTCTACATCCATTTACAGTAAAACTCTCAGCAGACTGTGTATGGAGGATCATACATGATAACGCAACAGCTAACATCATTATTCAGTAGTAAAAAGCTAAAAGCATTTCCTCTAAGATCAGGAACAAGACAGGGATGCTGACTCTCCCACCAATTTTATTCAACATAGTATTGGAAGTCCTAGTCATAGCAGACAAAAAAAGAAATATAAAGAATATAAATTGGAAAGGAAGAAGCAAAACTATCATTGTTTGCAGATGACATAATACTACACACGGAAAATTCTAAAGGTGCTGCCAAAAAGCTGTTAGAACTTATCAATGAATTTGGTAAAGTTTCAGGATACAAAATTAATATACAGAAATCTGTTTCATTTCTATACACTAACAACAGGCTATCAAAAAGAGAAATTATGGAAGCGATCTCAGTGGCTGCTGGTCACCACTGCCACCACCCCCTCCCACCCTGTTCTCTTTCTGGTCAGGTCAGGACCAACTGGCACCCCGCGTGCCTGGCAGAGACTGAGGGAGAGAGAAAGAGGAGGGGAGGAGGAGAAAGAGGATTCAGGGAGTAGGAGCTGGGGAGCCCTCCTGTGCCGCAGGTGTTTATAGCTATAAATATTCATCTGAGTACTGCCTTGACTGTATCCTAAAATTTCCAGATACTTGGTGAAGACAGGAAAGATTATCAAAGAGACCATCGGACTATTGTACTGTATTTACTGTTTATCCTGAAGCTCAGGTGAGGCAGAGCTCAGCTGATCTCTATTTCCTGATTGTTTACTTCCTGTTGGCCAAGCAAGACTTTCATTTGGAAAATTCTGGTGGACAGAGCCTGACATCATCTGTGAGCCATAACAGGAGCATGCATGTTCAAATGTCAGTTAGATTTGTGGATCAGTTAAGTTTTCCTGAAAGAGATCAAGCCCTGAGCCTTTGGAGTGGGAGCTGACTCCCAAGACCCTAGACTACCAGAGAACTTACCCTAGGGAGTATCAAATAGTAAGAACTCACAGAAAGGAAACCACTTGAATATAAGACCCAGCATCACCCAACCACCAGTAGCACCCTGTGCAATATGCCTCATCTAAACAACAAACAAAAGAAAAATACAAACTCAACCATCAGCAGACAGGATGACCACCTCACTCAGCCTTGCCCATCAGAGGAAAAACAAACAAACAAAAACTCAGCACAAATCTCACCCTAGCTTACACAAACCACTGGACCAACCTTGTGACCTGTGAAGTCACTCAGTCGTGTCCGACTCTTTGCAACCCCATGGACTGTAGCCTACCAGGCTCCTCAGGCCATGGGATTCTCCAGGCAAGAGTACTGGAATGGGTTGCCATTTCCTTCTCCAGGGGATCTTCCCAACCCAGGGGTCGAACCCAGGTCTCCCGCACTACAGGCAGACGCTTTACCGCCTGAGCCACCAGGGAAGCCCCAACCTTAGGAGGGCAGAAACCAAAAGGAAGAAAGAATACAACCTTGAAGCCTGGGAAAAGAAGACCTCAAACACAATAAGTTAAAAAAAAATAATGAAAAGGCAGAGAAATACTACACAAATGAAGGAACAAACTAGAAACACAGAATTCCAAATAAATGAAGAAGAAATAGGCAAACTACTTGAAAAAGAATTCAGAATAATGATAGTAAAGATGATCAAAAACCTTGAAAACAAAATGGAGAAATTACAAGAATCAATTAACAAAGACCTAGAAGAATTGAAGAATAAACATGCAGAGACAAATAACACAATTACTGAAATTAAAAGTACGCTAGAAGGAATCAATAGCAGAATATCTGAAGCAGAAAAATGAATCAGTGAGCTGGAAGATAAAATGGTGGAAATATTTTCTGAAGAGCAAAATAAAGTAAAAAGAATGAAAAGAGCTGAGGACAGTCTCAGAGACCTCTGGGACCATATCAAACACACCAACATTTGAATTGTAGGGGTCCCAGAAGAAGAGAAAAAGAAAGGATATAAGAAATTTTTTGAAAAGATTATTGTTGAAAATTTCCCTAGCATGGAAAAGGAAATAGTCAATCAAGCCCAAGAGGCACAAAGAATCCCATACAGGATAAACTGAAGGAGAAACATGCCAAGACACATACTAATTAAACTAACAAAGACTAAACACAAAGAAAGAATATTAAAAGCAGCAAGGGAAAAGCAAGAAGTAACATACAAGGGAAATCCCATACACTTAACAGCTGATCTTTCAGCAGAAACTCTTCAGGCCAGAAGGGAATGGCAGGATATATTTAAAGTACTGAAAGGGAAAAATCTACAACCAAGATTACTATACCCAGCAAAGACCTGATTCACAATTGATGCAGAAATAAAAAGCTTTTCAGACAAAAGAGAATTCAGTACCACCAAACCAGCTTTACAGCAAATGTTAAACAGACTTATATAGTCAAGAAATACAACAGCAGAAAAAAGATCTATAAAATCAACCCCAAACAATTAGAAAATGGCAATAGGAAGATATATATCAATAATTACTTTAAATGTAAATGGAAAAAAAATAAATGTAAATGGATTAAATGCTCCAACCAAAAGACATGCTCTGGCTGGATGTATAAAAAAACAAGGCCCATATATATGCTATCTACAGGAAACCCACTTTAGACCTTGAGACACATATACACTGAAGGTGAGAGGATGGAAAAAATATATTTCATGGAAATGGGAAGCAAAAGAAAGGTGGAGTAGCAATCCTCATATCAGACAAAATAGACCTTAAAATAAAGAAGATTACAAGAGATAAGGGAGAACACTACATAATGATCAAGGGATCAATTCAAGAGAAAGACATAACAATTGTAAATATCTATGCACCCAACATAGGAGCACCTAAATACATTAAAAAAACACTAACAGACATAAAAGGAGAAATTGACAGTATCACAATAATAGTAGGAGACTTTAACACTGCACTCACACTAAAATATAAAATTAATAAACACAAGTCTTGAATGGTTCATTAGATGAGATGATATATCTCATTGATATCTTCAGGACATTCCATCCAAATGCAGAAGAATGCACCTTCTTAAGTGCACATGGAACATTCTCCAGGATAGACCACATCTCAAACCTCAGTAAATTTAAGAAAGTTGAAATTGTATCAAGCATCTACTCTGACCACAACGCTATGAGACTAGATATCAATTATTAGGAAAAAACTGTAAGAAACACAGACATGTGGAGATTAAACAATACATTTCTAAAATAAGTATACTGAAGAAATCAAAAGGGAAATCAAAAGATTTCTAGAAACAAATGACAATGAAAGCACAACAACTCAAAGCCTATGGGATGCAGCAAAA